AAGTAAACGTAGAATTCAGTCTCCATGAAATGTGCAAATGTTAATCACCTTATTAAAGATTACCTTATAAATACTTTCGACTTTCTTAAAAATTATAACTAAAGGATTTAATATGTAAAATATTTTAGAATTTCATATGAAATTCTAAGTGTTTAATAAAAAAGAAGACAGATCAACGGATTTCATAGTACGACGCATTACTGTGCATAAAAGGACAATCGATTTGTAACTCCAATAAACTATAATTCAATTGTTATTCCACGGATTATGATGTTAAATTTGGTTTAATACTGTTAGTGAAATTTTAGGTTTAATTTAACATGCAATTACAGGCGTAGAAATATTTACTATTACTCTAACAAAAGAATGTGGTTCGAGATATCGATGCGTTAATATGTCAATTAATACTTTGTTAGAGTGCAAAGCTATTATAATTATATTCTTTCAACGAATCACTTTAAATTAGAAATTATTATGTTTATGTATTAATAAAACTTAAAAGAATTATTTACTGCAAAGGTGCAAAGTTTTTGAAAACATTTTGAAAATAAACTGACTATGCAAGAATTTTACGATTACAAATATTTTATCTTCACTTTTTTATACTATTAAAAAAGTAATACCAAATACTTTCGCTAACCTAATTAAGAAAGAAATGATAAGGAAAATTGTTAATAATATTAAGATTTGAAGAAAGCTTAATAAAAGGTATACATTTCTGTTAACACCTACTATTATTATCCTTATTATGCCACATAGAAATTTCCATAAACTATCAGAATATATTAATTACAAGTAAATGTATACGTATAGAATAAAATTTTACATTAATTCTATAAGGAAACACGGTATTGTATAAAAATACTTAATACCACATGATTACTTCTCTACGTAGTAGGATCCCACTCAACGTTCGCTTTACCACCATTATATTCTATACTGAAAGTGGTTCAGTGGAACTTCGTTGATATGAACGAAATTTTAGCAGTGGATAATTAACTGAACTCTAACTGAGCTTCTATTATCTAAACTGCCGTTCAGCGTCAGTTCACTTATACGAACATTAACCATAGTTACATTTTGTAGTGTAAGTTATTTATCAGTATATCTCCGATAAAGTATGGAATAAATTTTATGTTAATATACACTATCGATTGTTAGAATTTATTTGTCGTATGTTATAACAATTTCGTAACTAGACTAAGTAAAGAATTAATTTATTAACCATTACACAATTATTATACTCCTAAAATTTGCAATATCATTATGTATTTAAAATTAAATGTTTCATAGAATCCTCTTACATAAACGTTCCATATTTAATCTAAAAAGTGTCTTTATCATTATCTTTTTAATAAAATATTTACTGTAAGTTTTAAGTTTTTGGTGATCTTTATATTTTTTTCCGTATAGTTTCGTTATTTTTGTAATATGAAGTTCGCCCATAGTTTATACTTATGTACTAGAGATTTTTGAAACTTTTTCTCTACTGATTTCTGACATGAGAAGACCGTCCTAACTAAAGATAGTCCATCATATATTCATTTTATTTCGATCATAGACCACAGAAAGTGGCAGTAGGGGGAGTTCCTCCAGTCTGAAAGTTAAATGCTGGAAAAAAGCTGTAGTGTATTGATCACGTTGACTTCTGAAAGAACGTGCATGGATATAAAATTCATGTATAGGGTATTCTATTTTAACCTATAAATGCAATCATTTTCGGAACTATTCGTTATTTAAAAAATATCTTAAATACAGTTTCATCTGTCTTTAAAGGGTAAAAATGTCACACTCGGGCTACCGACCATTTAATACGGTTGATATGTAATCCATATAAAAACTGAGACAATAGATTATTTTCGGTTTCTTCGTATATTCATTATAGTATTCAAAATCATTTCGAATATTCAATGCTTTCAAGATATCAATAATTGCGAAACAAAGGAACCGAAACCAGTCATTTTGACGGGTACGGTAGTACAAATGTCAATGAAGATCACTACTATGTTTCTAAATATAATCATGTAGTCTTCTATAAATCAATCTACGCAGCAAATCACTTTCTGTAAAAAGATATTAATGTATCTAAAACCCATTAAAACAGAAAAAACTGCATTTCAGACATTTTTAACACTAAAACTACCGAGCAGTTAAATTGAGTTTTTGAAATTCCTCCATACAAAATTGAAGAGTACACCTATTGAGACTTTCATCGATTTAAAATTCAGTTTGCGTACTGCTAAATGAATTTCTTTAATAATTTCTCAGAGAAATATCTGTTACCTCTTTAATCATTGCAAAAGAAGAAATCAGGAATGGGAAAATAATTAAACACACCCCGTATAAAAAGACCTAAGTAAAAGTATTCTAGGTATCCGTAGTAAAATCGATGGATAGGGGAGTTTCAATATTGATAAGGAAAGAGAAGAAAGAAACGGCGTATCAGAAAATCCCACACGCACATCCCTTTATTCATATGTTACCGTGGGCGAACGGCAGAGCAGCGTTTGTTCGTTCCTTCTATGTATGTACATACGTGCTTCAAAGTTTCCTCTGTTCATCATCGATCCGAAACGACCCGAACGTGCAGTTACCTGCTAGTCTGTGTACTGCACGATGTATACTTCGAATGGAGTCCGCTATCCGTTTCCTTTTGCACGAGGAATGAATCGGGCGTCATCTTGTAAGAACTTATTACACGCGATCCTACCGGGTTCCGTGGAGATTTATTTTCGATTTTGTGGAAATTATTTCACCATCGACTGAATTCGATTTCTCGAGCTTCGAGATTTCATTTTTCACTGCTTGAATTGTACTTATAGAATCAGCGATACTTTGATCTAGAAATTTGATCATATAGTTCAACGTTCGAGTTATATGTTAAATCGGCAGTATTTCGTTGGTGTTTACACGTGATGCACCAACTGTGTGCACAGGATTCTCAGATTTGAACAACTATGCTCTTGGCAGAATTATTAGAACGAATTTAAAGGTGTAATATATTTGTAGAAGTATATATCTCCTAAAGCATTTTATAAGATCTCTAATTATTGCAGTAAGAAACGTATTTTAACCTAGTAATTTTTTCGTTAAATCACTTGTTAAATTAACACTATCGCTATTGACGTTTGTTTTGGTGACAATCTTTTCAATTGCAATATTTTATTCATTCTGACAAACCGTCTGAGCAAAATATCGACAAATGTAAAATTGAAACGAGTTAGCGAGTTTCTAAATATAATACTGTACCTTATAACATTAAATAACGATATCGATATCATTAATTTCACTTTTTTATGTAAACTATAGGGTTACAATGGTATTACTGTTGCAATGCTATTACATTAACACGGTATTACAGTACTCCTTCTTTTTTTAAATTTAATTAAAATTTAAGTAAAATAATTTTATAATTTTATATAAGTAGAAGAATTATAAGTTATTTTTAATTTAGTTTACACCGCCGTGGATACGGCGAAAGAGCAATATTAATGTAGTTAATTTGCATAGTTGAAACTTCTGTCAAATTTTTTTTATTATTTCTTATTTTTATAATTTCACTCGGGATGCACAAACTAGGTGCATCGTCTCTTTTTTTAGACGGTATCAATTAATAAACATTCATGCCAATAGAAATCTTTATACCCTGCATTCATTTTAGTAATTCTTCTTTGATTAAATACACAAGTGACGATGTTAGGACCAATTTCAACCGGGTTCTTACTGTAATTCTTTTTTTTTAAGAGAGTAGATCAAATTATGTAAATTTATTTTATTCTGTTCTCGTCTTCAATTGCAACGATGTAATAAACTATTTATTAGATCTTCATGTACAGGCTTAATTGCAGTCAAAACTTTCGCATGAAGTGCATTATAGTAACGTGTATACTTATATCGAAAGTGATTAATTGAAATAGCTGTCAACTATTAACTATGCTTCAGACTAAACTTGTGACAGAAATTCCGTGACAAATGATACCTTGCACCAATAGTATCACTTTACAAACTTTGGACTTAGGAAAAATATGCCTACTGAGACAAATGCTCAAATAATTTACTTCGATGATATAAAATTTATCCGCATACTGCCTTAATAATCGAAGCGTTAACCGTTTATCCTATTATTGTATTCGCACTATTCTCGTATTTATTTTATTATTAAACGTTCAAAAACTCACAAAACAATTTCTATTCATTGAAAGTACACGCTTACTTTAAAAGCAAAACATTGATAACAGAAAAACACTTTTTCGCTTCGACTTATACACGACGAATAACATGGATTTTTATCAAACTGAACTAAAAATCTTCACCACGGGTCCCACTCCTTATCACGCGGCGAGGTGTTAACCCTTACGTGGACAACCAAAGCACTTTCTTGAAACTTCAATATCACAGTATTTTCACATAAACATTTTATTTTAAAAGGAAAATCGACATAACAGTGTTCAAGAAATAGAAATCAAAAATAATTTAATCAAGTTTTTTTCAAAATAACTTAGTCAAATAATTTAGTCAGATATTCTGTTACTCACATAAATCTTCTCTCTGCATATTTAACCGAATACGAGGTGTAATTGCACCCTACACACTTTTGGTAGAAGACTTGGAGAAAAAATGTTACTGCATAAGTATTTATTACTACATTCGAATTCACGGTTTCAATAAAATTTGTTCAAGTGTTATCTGAAACATATGACAAATAATATTCCTAGAAAAATTTTAGAAATTTTCCATCTGTCAACCTTTGATTCACATTTTTATCAGCCAGGAGTGTCTTTGCATCCCTCTATACAAAGAGAAGGTTAATCCCGGTGATAGCATTCCATGCGCGACAGCTTTATAGTGACACCGTATACCGGAGCACTGTAATTAACAGATCTTATCTCGTCCACTTAAGGGTATCGTTAGTCAATCCGAAATTCAATAAGGTTTAACTACGGCGAAGCGGTCGTCCCCGAAGACCGATCTAATCGATCTTTCAATCTGTTACGTTCCAGCCGTTCATGGTGCCCATGAGAGTGCTGATGTTATTAGGGGGCGGATTGTTGGCAGTGTTTGGGAGTGAGGCGATCGAGCTAGGCGGCGCTGGACCATTGGCAGTGGTTGCGGCTGCCTTTGTTAGCTGTTACTTCTGGCAGAAGCAAGGCTGGGAGGTCGACGACGTGAGTACACTTTTACATTTCATGACGATTAACCTTTTCGTCAGACACAAATTGTCTGACATTTCCTAAACAAACTATTTTTCTTATTTTTGTTTGAAAAACGCGACTTATATAATCATTTATAAAAATTTTGTATGCTTTTGAAGCTTTGAATACCGTTTTTATTTTGTTTACATATAATTATGACTTTTATTGCAATATAATATATTATATATTACATTACACTATATTATTATTGTATATATATTGTATGTACTATTCAAATATGAGACAAGTATATTTCATTATATTATACCATTCTGTAATTGCAAATTATTGTTATATATAATATATAATGTATATTATATATAATATATTATTATATGTGTAATATATATGATGCATAATATTATAATATACAATAATTTGTAATTTTAGAATAGTATAATATAATGTAATATATTTGTATCACATTTCAATAGTAACCCAACCAAATCGAATGAATATAATTCACTCAATTAAACGATGATTACTTGAAAACATATTCATATTAGAAATAATGCAACTTAAAGCAGTGACGTTTAGCAAGATAACCGTGCAACAATGATAACGCAGCTCAATCAAATACATTGATATTATATTTTTTCCATTTCCTGTATTTTGCTTCATGAAACTGCTGAGCATTCAACGTGTTAACCAGTTAACTGCGTTCAACGAGTATGTACGTCATCGGGAACCTCGAAAACAGTACTAATTTTTTCAAGTAGGAATTATTTATTTCTTCAGATAAACATATAATTCCCCTTCGCTTTGCTTTAGTTTATAGTTAGAATATATCATAGTTTCATTTACTCTGCCTTTGACGAGCATACGCTTTATTGTGAGAGATTTTCCAAATTAAATTCCACAGTTAAGAGGTTAAACAATCGAAATAAAATATAATTCAACTCATTTTTACTTTTATTTTTCATCTTTATAGATAATGAATTCGATCAAGTGTTATCATATTTCGATATTCTGCATGGCCGACAAGATTTTAAATAAATAATAAAACTTGTGTCTAACATATAAATAAGCCGAAGGGAATCATTTATATATTTTTGAACGTGAATAAATTCATGCAAATGACATTTTATTTCTTAATTTTATATGGATAGCCATATGTCTACAGCGGGAAAAGGGGTAATTTGACTAAATAAAACTCTTTAACCCGCGTGTGGACGGTCCCGAGGCCGCGAATTATTTAAATTGACGCGGAAAGGTTGACCGTGGGAACATTGGTATTTCCTGGACACGAGTATTTCATTCAGGAAAGTACCACGGCATGAAATAATTCTTACGAAGTTGGAGTCTCCTTGAACGAAATAATGAGAGGAATGTTAATAAAATGGTAACGAGACGAGTAATCCGATGTCAGTGCATTTCTTAAACTGAAGTTAATATTTCCTTAACGAATGGTAATTTCTTACGATAACGGTCTTTTTGCGGTGTTCTATTTTGCTCGTAATTGTTTGACAACTTTGTTAAATAATTATACTACGTATAGGCACAATAAAATTTTGGTGAATTTGATTTGGTTGATACTCTATGCCTATTGGTAACATCAGGAAATTTTATTTTTAAAATTCTATCGAGATAGACAAAGTATTGTTTCTGATATGAAGGTAATATTTGTAATTATTATACAATAGATACATACAAATATTTGGATTTTTGTAATCTCTGTATTAAATGAGACACTCAATTAGAGGGAAGACAAAAATTTCCTAATTATAAAATTCAGTACGCTAAAAGTTATGTGAAAATTGTTACAATTTTTACTACTTTTATATTTTGCATATATCAGAAATTTATTAAAAGCATGGATAAATAGTATTATACATCTTTGCAGCATAAACTCTGTTCTGTAAGGAATTTGGATTTTATAAGTAACATATCCGAATATTACCAGGAAAAGGCTAGCAGGGGTTTTATGAAAAAGGGATATTGATTTAAAAAAAAGAGAAAGAGTAAACAGGAAGAATTTATAATTTATAACCTTCACATAAATTCAAAAACTTGTTTCAGTATTGATACAAATATTGATTCAAACATTCGCAGGATTTATGGAACTGCCTAACATGTAATGGATTAAATGAGAAAGTACAATTATACAAGCTATATTTTGATTTTCGCAAAGAACATATGATCCAATTCGACAGATTTTTTGCCATTTCGCTTATATATTTATACGTTGAATGTACGTTGTCTCTATTTATTGATTTTACATATCGTTGCATCATTTTTAACGGGTGAAGTAGAACCAAAGACATCTTTTCATTATACAAGATAAACCAATAAACAATCCATTTTACAACTTTTTAAAATGAATTTACATATTTTTACTTGAAAGTATCGTCCTCTTATTTTCTTATTTAAATGCAGAAGATACCTACTGGAGAACAAAAACTATTATTCGAGCTACAGGTGCTTTTAATCCTCCAATGCCTGAAATATTAAATTTCATATACTACAGTATATTATTTATAGTGCGCGCGCGCGCGTGTGTGTAATAGTAGTAAATTCATTTGATCAATAAGATGGTTTATTATTTCCTAGCTTTTAATTGCATCTTTGACTCCACGAATTAAAAGCATCACATCTCATAATACTCGGGCTCGCGGTTCAAAACCGGGCTAAATAAAGCAATTAAAGATGCTTGAATAAACATTATACTCCTTTATCCAAGTATGAATATGTATTGTCACAGAAACCATAGTTGCAATGAGAATGGAAACTAAAGCCTTCTGCTATATCCTTCGCCTACACTACTGCTTAAGAGTTTCGAGTCACTTATTTAATGGAAAGGAAAGATGGATCTTGCTTATTAAAACAAATACGAAAAAGAGTATAAAACTTTATATATTTTAAGTTGAATGTATTAATTACAGAAGAATGATAAAATCACAACAATTAAGCTATTCGGTAAAATTATATCTCCAGATTACGTTATGTCCCTTTGATCAAAATAATTCTCTTCTCTCTTAAAAAGGAAATGGAAATGAAAATGGAAATGGAAATGGAAATCGAAATGGAAATGGAAATGAAAATGGAAATAGAAATGGAAATTGAATGTTACGGAAACGTACTTATTTAATGACTAGACAAATCATTGTGGTACTTGCAGTGTTATGAAAGAATTTTAAATCGGCAAACCCAAAAATCCATGAAATCACACGAATTATATGAAATTCGATATGAAATCAATAAAACGTTATTACATACTAAACCGAAGAATAAATAAAACAGTACAATATAAGAAACTTTTAAAATAGCTGGTTTTAAAACAGAAAGTAGTATATTAATCTTTATTTTATTGTCTTTCGTAAATCGTAAATATTAGAAATGATCTCAAACTTTTAAGCGGTAGTGTATATTTCAGGCTGCAAGCTTTTAGCCTTCTAGCGGCAATATTTTCTCGTAAGCACTCTGGAAGCGGAATGTCCAACTTAGCCCTAGCTCGATGTTAAATTGTAACTAACTCAACGTTTTACAACTTGCAACTTGTTTCAAAACTTAGTCGCGAAGGACACGCACTACGTAACAGAGAATACTATCTTTGCAAAATCTTTTTTCATTTATAACATTGCAGTAGAGTATTTTTTTTTATAAGTACAATACGTAGTAAAAATCTTTAATACACTCAACATTAACATATTAATATTATAATAATGTAAAGAAAATTTTCAAGGAGTATACTTTTTGAAATCCTCGTTTTTAAAGAATAAAAAATAATTCAGATTGTAAATTAAATATTTGGAAAACGATTAAGATGCTTATACTTCTATTGGCGAGAACTGGTGTATTAATTAGTGGACTATTCGTTACTTAATTCATATGAAATAATACGTTCAATACTTTCTTTAATGAACACTAATGGTCAGTTTTCTAATACACTGTTAAATTTATTCAAATATAAGTATAGTTCTATGTAAAGAAATAATAATAATCCAAAAATCTTCAAAAGTGTGACCTTGTCCTGAAAATTTGGATATCTATATGTGGCATTTTATAATATTGATGATATTACACAATATTGTGATTCTTTGATATGTATATAATATTTACATATTTTTATTTACAAAATTTATGAATTTTATGAAAATTTCATTTAATCCTTTTTCTATTTTACTTCGTAAAAAATAATCAAAATATTTCAAATGATCAAAATAAATTAAATACCACATTATTAAAAATAAACTATGTTAACAGTTGTAAATGAACACTAGGGATGTAAACTAGATAATAATCCATTGTTGTTTGACGCTCTGTTGTTCGAGTTGCTGCAAATCAGTTAACTGGTTGTTCGTTAATAGTGTATAACATAATAATATTGCAAATTCGCTAGAAATCGTGGAAGTGGATGGTTATCCACCCTTTCTAGCGAATTAACGTTCCTGTGAATGTTCATTCTCGGTGCTAATTAGCAGCATTTTATTCACGCCAACTGTTGCCATCCATGTTATATCGTAACTCCCGTTTTGAATTTCAATGATTCGATTAATTATTCCACACTACCTTGTCCCTCAAACGTGATTAGGTCTCTACACCATCGTACGAATCAACGCACATTGTTATGTAGTTCATCGTGTTTAGTTTATTTTGTTACTGTTTCATAAAAACCAAATATTGTCCTATTTATGATGTTGATGTTAAATATGAATAGTCCACTTCATTATTAACTTAATTTTTTTACTTTTTAATTTAATTTCAGAATCTATTTTGGTTACTGTAAGTATATAAATGTGTAGGTATTCTAATTCAGTTTATAATAATTTTCTACTATTGATAAGTTTGAAATCAATAACTCAACTAATTTCGTTGTTAATCGTAATAAATAACTTTTGTTCTTAATGTTATACGTCCTAAGAGATTAGGAAAATATCGATGATCTGGATATGACCTTCGCAATGATATATTTTATACGCAACTATACATGTTGTTTAATGTTTGACCCACTTGTATCACAGCTCGAAATACGT